AATTATCCAGTTGTCCATTCTGTCTTCTGTAGCTCCTGAAACAACCAGCACCACTCCTGAAACAACCAGCATCACTACAACACCAAGTACAACAGTTGGTATGTATCATTCTTCATCAGATCCTGTCACTGATTCCCATAACATCTGAATTGCCTACTGCAAACCTTAGTAAATCAGGTTGAGTGATTCATTTAAAGACTCTCTTCACAATAATTTCAGCTTTGAAAGAGTTGTCTTGCAAATGTATATGCAATATGCTCAGTCACAAAATGCTTAATGAAATTGCGCTCTTCCCCCAGATTTTGAGCTTTGCGAGAGAACTCTTTCAAATGCATCTGCAATATGCTCGGTCAAAATATTACATGTCAATGCCTTTCTACCACTAAACTTTTTCAGCATGTGATGACTGATAATGTTCATAGCTAACCTGAACTTGTTTCTTCCCCCCACAACCATTGAACTACCTAGAATTTCCTCTTAGCTAATCATCCAGTTCTCCTTTCTCTCTTCTGTAGCTCCTGTGACAACCAGCACCACTACAACACCAAGTTCAACAGGTGGTATGTATCATTCTTCCTCAGATCCTGTCACTGATTCCCATAACATCTGAATCTGTCCCTTTAAGGCCAGATATACTAAATAGTGGAGATTAGAGTGAGGACGCAATCAAAATAAAAGCTCCAGTGGGAATGGCCAGTACTACACATGTCCTACTAAAATGCACAATCTGATGGAGACAGACACAGGCAGCTCATTTAAATAATGAGATGCCCAATCTACTAAGGGAAACGCAAAATAAGTCATGTTTTATTTGGCGTTCAATAATGGCGCATTTTGCAGTAAATTGCCTATCGCAAACCTTAGTAAATCAGGTTGCATTATTCATTTAACGACACTCTTCACCATATTTTGAGCTTTGAAAGAGTCGTCTTGCAAATGTATATGCAATATGCTCAGTCACAAAATGCTTTCTGAAATTGCTCTCTTGCCCCAGATTTTGAGCTTTGCGACAGAACTCTTGCAAATGGATCTGCAATATGCTCAGTCACAATATTACATGTCAATGCCTTTCTACCACTAAACGTTTTCAGCATGTGATGACTGATAATGTTCATAGCTAACCTGAACTTCTCTCTTCCCCCCACAACCATTGAACTACTTAGAATTCCCATAACATCTGTAATGGCATTAAACTAACTCGAATTTCCTCTTAGCTAATCATCCAGTTCTCCTTTCTCTCTTCTGTAGCTCCTGTGACAACCAGCACCACTACAACACCAAGTACAACAGGTGGTATGTATCATTCTTCCTCAGATCCTGTCACTGATTCCCATAACATCTGAATCTGTCCCTTTAATTAACTCT